AAAAAATTATGAAAATAATGGAGAACATGAAGGACAAAGTAGATGAGTAGAACGACACATGGCAAAACAATGATTATGGAAGGACTAGAAAGGGAAAGAAAGTAGAGCTTCTCTCTCTAGAATCTAGAGAGAGAAAGCTCCCCCGGTGGTAATGGTCTGGTGCAACATTTGGCCAGTTGTTTAGCTCCTCTACCCATTCCTGAGGAGAGTGAGTATGTATTTCAGATTGTGAGATGGTTCAGGTGTTGCCGTTCAAAGCTTTGGAGGTGGGTCTGCAACATTTGGAGGTGTACTGCTCTATTTAACCTCCTCTTCCATGAGGAAGGAAGTGTTCTGGTGGCTCACATTCTTTGTGGGTTTTGGCCAGTTGGTTTAGCTCGTCTACCCAAAAATCTGTGGGTAAGTGAGTTTGTTTCAGATATGTTCTTATGCTCCGTTTGGAGGTGTGATGTTGTTTTGCTGTCCATCTTTTGTATCAATGTTCATCTCCATACAGTGGTGTTTCGATGCCGGAGTGTCCGTTGTGATCAAGGTTCATGGATGGTTTTGTTGGGTTTGTCCAGCTGGTTGATTGTCAAGGTGGTCTCCGGCATTTTGTCGTCGGAGGTGTGTTTCTTTGATGGTCGCTGTTCTCTGCATCTTTCGATTGTGGTGAACCAGTGTGATGGCGAGTGGTGTTGACCTCCATACCAGCGTGTTTCTTCTGCCGTTGATGGAGGTGATGGGCAGGTCGCAGGTTTGAATATTTACGGTTTTTGCCGATGGTTGTTACCGGCGTGGTTGGTATAGTTGTGGTGATTAGTAGTTGCGTGCAATGCACAGTCTTGTGCATGTGTGAGTTTTTTTTTGAAGGAGACGATGTATGGCTCACGCAAGTTAGAGCGCGTGGAGGGCATGGGTTTACCCACATCACGTCAATGGGTCACGTGGGTGTTCTGATTCTCACTGCCCAAGATTGAATTTGGTGTATCTTGCTTCAAAACTGTGGATTTCTTTTGGCTGGTATTCATCTATACATATTTATATTTTATATTTATCTATAGTTTGTCATGGGCCTATATGCACGGTTTTATTGGGGCAGAACAACAAGGAGTTGTTGTGGGTGTTGTATGCATAGGTTATTGGACCAGCACATGGGTATCACGGTGGGTTTATTTTAATTGGACTATTATTTTTTGGGCCCACCGTGATTGTTATGTGATGAAGAATTCATGGGCTATTCTGCCAAGCCGTGGACTTTCTTTATCTGTGGGCTTGTGTCTCACTTGGATTGTGGTGTGGTTATTATATTAGTGGCCTTATTTTGGACTTCATTTATATAATTTAAGTGGGCCACTAATGAGGGTTTTTTGGGTTTATATTTTTTGTTTAGACTCTTGGCAGCGAATCATTTATAGTTAATGATTTTATGATGTTTGATTGTGTGATCCTCATGTGACTCGATATAAGGGAGGTTTTGAGCCATTTCCGCCAAGAGTGATTGAAGAGTCACTGCTATGGGGAATAGTGGTTTGACAACCAACCGAGTTAGAGACTGGGAGATGAGCGGGAGTATAGCTACTGGTTTTCTGGTTGCTTCTTGTCTTCATGTGACCTGTCCTAATTGATCGTATTGCTACGCCTGACATGGAGTGTAGGGTCCACTGCCGTGGGGTTTGAGGCTTGTGATCTACCAAGGAAGGGTTTGGGGGATGTAATGATTGATCTCATGATTTTGTTGGCTGTGTATTGGTTTGTTGCTGAAGGGCTACTGTCTGTTTCACTTCAACTCCCTAGTCCGTGGCTTGTGGTTTTTGATCGTGCTAGCTTCATGTGACTTTGCTAGGATTTCTCATGGGGTAGATTTTATGCTCTGACATGGCTTTGGTTAAGTGGTTTGGATGTCACGGCTGTGAGGAGTGGGTTGCTTATTGGATTCCATGTTTTATCTGCAGTAGAGACTGGGGGCTTGCGGGGTTGATTATTATCTTTGACTCGGCTTGAGGGTTGTTGTTTGGTCTGTGTGTCTGTTTTGTTTAGTAGCTTAGTGGTGTTTTTTTTCTTTGGTGTATCTCTGCCCATATATCCACCTCAAGTTCACATCTATTATCTATGATGGTAGGGGTTACTTGAGGGCAAAGAGGATATATGAGCAAAGTTGGGGTTTTTCTATATTTCTATTGTTCTTGTTTGTTCACCTTATTTTTAGGGTTGCAGTGGTAATTTATGTTGCTTATATTTGTTTTTTATTTGTTGTTGGGCGTGCCTGGGGTATGCCCCTTATAAACTTGTAAATTTTCATTGTCTTTATTTTATGACTTACTTACCAAAAAAAAAAAAAAATTGATGATGGAAGGAATGAATAGTTACTAAGTAGTTATTGCTGTATTTTTTCCTCTATAAATAGCCATCAATGACTACATTGTAAGGATCTAGAAATCAAATCAAAGATAATTGATTTCTATTTTTCTTGTCATTTATATTTTCTGCATTTTATTTTACGCACTTCCTTTTCGAATCATTTATTTTCAGCACTTCTTTTTCGAAACATTTTATGCACTTCCTTTTCAAAGCATAGGAGTAGAGGTTAGTAATTGTTACTTTGATTGTTCACTTAATCACCTCAATTGTACATTCAATCATCTTTCTTCGTCTCTCTCATTCTTCAGTTAATTTTTATTTTTTCTACGCTTGGTAATTTTGAAGTCCTCTTCATTGAGGCAAAAGAACCATTAACACAATTGCTTGATAATTGGCTTAAATTTAATCTATAAAGATTTTTCAATCCTTGCTGACACGCTCGCATGTATGATATTTTCTTTTGTAGGAAAAATAAATCAACAATTTTTGGCACGCCCAATAGGACGTCAAGTGTAAGAAATGAAAAATAAATTGGATTCATCTATTTCAAATAGCCTAGATGAAATAATAAGAAAAAAAAATAGATTTTCAAGAAGAGATCCATTTTCTTGATGAAATAAACTTTCATCCCTTACAATATTATTTGGTGGAAGAAAAAAGACACCATTTAATTGAAAAAATTCATCAACTTGATATGAAAATTCACCAATGGAATGATGAGTTGTCAACTCTCACTGCCAAGTCTTTGACTGAGGCTTTAATGGCCAGAATTGGTGACTTTTTTCAGAATTTTTCTGTGGTTGAAAATAGCGAAAGTAAAGAGTTGGTTTCATCTATGGCTCATGGGAGTCAAAAAACTCATTTTTAAATAGCCAATTTATGAAACTAACATTGCTAAAAAGCATGTTATTGAGCTAAGTATGGTTAAAAATAATGTTCCATATAAGACTTGGGGGGTTGAAAAACCAATTCTTAGAGAGTCAAACCATGGACATAAGATGTCTATGAAAGATTTTCATAAGCCATTAATGGCTAAAATGGAACAACCCATTTGACCGAGAAATGATGAAACTCACATGGAGGATTTTCATAATCCATTAATGGATAAAATAGAAAAACAACCCATTTGTCAATGAATTATGAAAGTTAATTGGTCAAAGAACATATTCTCAAGCCAAATATGGCTAAGAATGATGAACAATTTAATATTCATGAATCTAAATTTTTTGAAATTATTCAAAATGTCAAATTGTTTAAATTTTTAAGGCCATCTTGTACTATGATTTTTGGTGTTTAAAATCTTTTTTGGATTTGTGGTTCAAATCAAAATAAATGGAACAACCCATTTGACCGAGAAATGATGAAACTCACATGGAGGATTTTCATAATCCATTAATGGATAAAATAGAAAAACAGCCCATTTGTCAATGAATTATGAAAGTTAATTGGTCAAAGAACATATTCTCAAGCCAAATATGGCTAAGAATGATGAACAATTTAATATTCATGAATCTAATTTTTTTGAAATTATTCAAAATGTCAAATTGTTTAAATTTTTAAGGCCACCTTGTATTGGTTTTTGGTGTTTAAAATCCTTTTTGGATTTGTGGTTCAAATCAAAATTTAATTTTGATGTAATGGCTAATAAAACATCAGTAGTTGAGAATGGCTTATCGGGCTTATTTTTTCAAATTGATGAGCAACTGCTTTTTTTTTTTTTTTGGTACGACACAAAAATGAGGGTATGTGTTCTTGGTTCGGCCCTTCAAAAATTTAAGTAAATATCATTTTTAAGGGCCGCAGGAGGTAATGTTGGCACCATAAACTATTTTTCTTCTTCTTACTCTTATTATTAGTAGTCGTATTATTATTGTTATTATTTTCAGGACACGTGACATTCTCTTTTTCATTTGGAAGTTAAAAAAAAGTTATGGAGATGATGGAGAACATGAAGGACAAAGTGAATGAGTGGAAGGACATATGACAAGCCAATGATGAAGATAAGAGAAATGAGTAGTTACTAAGTAGTTATTGCTGCAGTCTTTCCTCTATAAATAGCCATCAATGGCTACATTATACGGATCCAGAACCTAAATCAAAGGCAATTGATTTCTATTTTTCTTGTCATTTATACTTCCTGCATTCTATTTTACGCACTTCCTTTTCGAAACATTTTATGCACTTCCTTTTCAAAGCATATGAGTAGAAGTAAATAATTGTTACTTTGATTGTTCACTCAATCACCCCGATTGTACACTCAATCATTTTTCTTTATCTTCCTTCTTCTTCTGTTAATTTTTCTATTTTCTACACTTGGCAATTTTGAAGTCCTCAAAAGAACCATCAACACAATTGCTTAATAATTAACTTGAATTTAATCTGTAAGGATTAAAAAATCCTTACCGATACGCTTGCATTTATAATATTTTCCTTCGTAATAAAAATAAGTCAAAAGCAACAATACCTTCAAACTAGAGGATGCATCAAGCATAACAACAAAATAGTCAACCTTAAAAAGTCAGCCTCGGGCAATCAATTCTACCATTCATTATATTGATAATAACATTAAAAATCTAAAGATGTCCTCCTCCAGAATAGTTGCAGCTAAACACAGATCGACAAGCAAAATACGGGCCAAAGATCCATCACATAGTATATCACTATCTCATTCCTACAAACAAAATTCCCAAAAACCAATTAGACCACAAGCTTCTGGATGCAATCAATCTTAGAAAGGAGGTTGTCACATCAGCATCAGAACGTGGAGATGGACTTCGAGAATCAGTAGCTCTACCATGTGGTGAAACACTCTTTGGAGTAGGTGAGCGTACTTTGCGATTGCGCTCATCAGGACTTCCACCCCTAGATGGTGGTGTCTTACGTGGAGAGGGGTTCCTGCGAGGACTAGGGCTACAACGAGCAGGAGAGGCACTTCAAAAGACGCATATTGCATCAGATAATATGTCACAAAGGCATATATATAGGAAGGACTACGGTTCGATTCCCCGCATCACCAATTGGGAGGGGCTTTGAGTCTAACCATCCAAAACTACGCCCCGAATCCGGATTAGTCGGCCCGAAGGGTCGGATACCGGATGGCTAGGACCAAAAAAAAAAATATATATATATATAGAGAGAGAGAGAGAGCATAATACCTTCCATATGACCGACTTCGACTGCGTCTCTCATCATCATATCTACCTCTCCCATGGTCTTTGTGATAATCAGGACTTCCATCGTGGCTTCTACTTTGATGACGATAATCTCTCTCCCTTTCCCAGTGCCCGTCACGGTTATATCTACCCCTACTTCTGTTGCAACTTCTCCTCCTGTTATCCTGACCCATGTACTCATCCCTATATCTGAAATTGTTTTCAAAATTGCAAAAATCTAGAAATTTCTTAAAAGTTGATTTGTGATTATGTATCAATTTTAAACAGTAAAACAATCCCAATCAAACAATCAAGACAAATCGACACAACAATTTTAACGTGAAAAAACCACAATTGGAGCGCCTCCAATTGTGATAAAAAAAAATCATGGGCAAAAGCCACAAAACAATCTACTAAGAAGATATAAAGGAATTGCACAAGTGTACTCTCAATTACCTAGCGAATCCACGCTCGAATCGAACCGACCTTTATGTGCCTCTTCTAACCCCGTCTTCACCTCGGAATTGCCTTACCTAACATTGAATCCACAACGTCGATGTCGAATCCACAATGATGAGCCACTCTAGAATCCACCAAAGCTTCAGGCCCAAATTCCACGGAATCCATCGAAGAACAACTCTCTTTTTTGTATTGAATAAACAAACAATCATTTGATGTATACTTTTTAAACCATGAGTTGAATATTCATTCAAACATTAAAGAAAACTAACAAAACAGCCCCAGATATAAACCCTAATATCTAAGAAGAAAATCTGGAAGCGTAACCCTAAAATCTTACTGAAACACATATATATAGCAATCTGTTCAGCGATATTTGCTCAAGCGCTGAAATGGCCACTCGAGCGGACCGATGCTCGAGTGGAAAAATGCAACTGCAAGTATTTTTGCAGGTAATCAAACTTTTAGAACCAAGGATTCTCTACTCGAGCGCCCAAACCGCTGCATGAAAGAATTATCTTCGCCCAACCGCTGTATGAAAGAATTACCTCCGCTTAGCTCGATCCTTGTCATAGTCAGTGAAGTGGCAAGCATGAAAGAATTATCTTCTGAAACTTCTCTGCAAGGCACAATTCGGGTTGGATTTGCATCTAAGTACTCATAATCTCACTGATATAAAAGAACGAATAAAAGTATAACTGAAAGAAATTTTGTCAAATGAGATTGCCAGGAATAAAAACCTAACAATAATAAAATGACATACACAATTAAATACATATTGGATAATATTTCATAGGAATCTATCTTTTAGCGGGAATAAGCAATTAAGAAAAGTCATACAACAAAACACAAACAGAAAACAAGATTAACAAATAATGCATAAGAAAAATAATAATTCGAGTGTCCAAAAGAGCACCAAGAGATTAAACATACGGAAAGAAACTCATGGAAATGTTTCTACTCTAAAAGAATAACAATTCTTCTTAAAAACATGTAGGCAAAAAATAAAAAGCCTAAGTGTCACTTGACAGTCCCATTTGGCCAACAAATTAAGCCTAAGTTTTTACTTTTTTACTCGATTTGAGCATCACGTGGGGTATTGGCTTTTTTACCATATAACAATTGAGAGAATGACTTTCGTCATTAAGCATTCTTATCAATGGGACATAGGTCATTTTGCATTAAAAATTCAAAAAGCTAGAAAGATTGCCAAACATTATTAGCTAATAAAACCATTAAAAAGTTAAAAACCTACCACAAAAATATATAACTAGGAGTAGACCAAACAAGCTGGCTTAAAATTGGTACCCAAATGAGTATTTTTTTCATCAAATTTGAGTAAAAATATAGTTAAAAGCTTCAATTGGTATGGAGTACTCCAATCCTTGCTCTTTTTGTCATCATATCTTAAATGCAACCTATCCAAAAGCCTCTTTTAACCATTTTTTATGAAAGAAAATCATCTCAAATCCTTATTCTTTGAAATTTCGTTACATTGTTTGTTGGCTATATATTTTGTATAGGCCAATCGTAGCTTGACACGTGGCTCGTAAAAAGTAATTTGGGGAGTTAATACAAGTCTCCAATCAGCAACAGACACGTGGCAGTTCATATTGGTAATAATGAATTTGCGTAGCATGGAAGTAGTTAGAAGGTGCAAAGTGACGTGACCCAACGGTTACTCACAATTCAAATTCAAATTCCAGAGGGAAGCCCAACTGCAAGGAAGGCGTAGTGAGAGCAGATTGTTCAGGGCCATAACCAATGATCGTGGAAGGGCATTTCAACAGTTAGAAGTCCACTTCGACGGTTACTATTAGAGAGTTTAAATAGAAGAGAATGCCAACAGAAGGGGACCCAGACCCAAATCCAGAAATCAGTTATTTATTTCATATTTTTCCAGTTTTTACATTTTCAACTTTTCAATTCCTGTACTGCACTTCATTTCCTAGGAGTAGTTTCAAGTAGTTCGTTGCTATGAACCTCTTTGAGACTGGGTCATTTCATTGTAAGCTCTCATTTACTTAATGAAATTCAATTCTGAATTATTTTATACTTGTTATTGTTTATAAGTTTCTTCTAAGCAAGCTACCAGTAACAGTCATCTTCATTGAGGCTGAAAGAATTTCAACACAATTGTCTGATAATTAGTTGGCAATTTAAATTCTATAAAGACTTATTAATCCTTGCTGGCACGCTTAAAATTACATAATTAACCTTCGAAAGCCAAAAAAGCCAACATATATATTTGGCATGCCCAGTGGGACACTTTAAAATGGCTAGACGTAGGAGACAATGAGAAAATGAACGCTTGGAAGAAGGTGTTGAAGGAGAGATAGAAGTTCCTAACCCACATGATAAGGTAATATCACATCCTATGGATGCACCTGTCTCATCAGATCCTCCACAAATGATCGAATAGACTAGCACCTTAGAAAATGCAACACGTGTCCATAACATTGGACAGGGCCATAAAACTGGACCATCAACTGCCCCTTCTACCCAACCAATGCATCTATGGGGAGGTTTAGTAGATGCTATGGGGCAGCAACTAATGCATATAATGGAAAGATAGGCAACATCCTTCATGGATCGAAGATGGGCAACATCCTTCATGAATCGAATGAACTCTCATCAACCAACTATCATCAGGCAGGTTGAGGAAAACATATGTTCTTTAACAAAGATTGGATTGAGAAAAATAGTCTATGCAAAATAATGGACAAACCAACGATCAGACTAGTAATCAAAATCATGAAAAGCCATCACCTGTGCCTCAGTCATGGTATGAAGCTCCTTTGAGACCACTGGAAAATCAAAATGTACCATTATCTAGTAGCGAAACCATACAAATTAGTGGGTCTGAACTAACACAAGAAAATGGCATGAGGGTGTTTTCAAATCCCATGTTTGAAACCATGCCTGGTACACAAACGTTCACTAACCTTGTGTTTGAATTTGCACCCAGGAGGTTGGAAGGATTTACTGCAATTGGAAAAGAAACAACACATGTTCCACCTTTTATGGCACCTTTTGCAAGGCAGGCTCCAAGAGGCCAGCCATACCCTCAACAACAACTAGTACAACGAGGGTAGTTAGTCCTAAATGCACCTCTATATGGACCAAGAGGCCCTGAGGCACATGGAGTTCCTCCAAACCCTGTGTTTGCTTCTCTAGTAGTAGTCCAACCAGCACAGAACATGGTTCCTGGGGACCAAATTCCTGATATTGTTAGAGAGATGTGTGGACTCGTGGCTCGGGGGGTCCAAACTCCTGTGTATAGAAAGTCTTATCCAGAATGGATAGACAGGGTACATGAATACCTACAGGGATTTAGAATACCAGATTTTTTCCTTTTTTATGGAAATGAAAACCAATCAATGGTGGAACATATTACCAAGTTTACAAGCTAGTGTGGTGAATTCACCAATAATGATTACATAAAACTAAGACTGTCATGACCCGAACTCGCCCATGTAGGTTAAGGTTATAACCGGCCAGTAATCATAAGATTACCTACGACCTCAAACAAAACCAAACATACATTATAAATAAGTAGAGGGAGGCCAGACGGAAGCAGTCTTAAAAATTTTGTCCATTGAGCTATGCTTACATGGCATACCAAAACATTTCCACATATGTAATAATAACTCACACCATAAACCAAAATAAACATCTTGTATATCCAGGATCATACAAACATATGGCCAGCCGAACAGAAGGTATAGGTGATCCAACGGATCCACCAAAATAGCAACAGAGTAAAATAGAGAACAAAAATGATGTCTCGTGCGTGAGACATCCAGGCTGACTCCACAAAACTTGGACTTCTCTTACAAGCTTTACTGAGGTTGGGATTAGACATCTCTTTGCTCACCTACATACATATAAATAAGAGTGACTGAAAGCCTAGTGAATAATACTAGAGTAAATAGGTTATATGAATGAAATTCTCTAATAGGTAACATCCTTATCAAACACATCAAACGACCTTAGGCCTATTCATATTCTTATCAAATATGTCAAGCGGCCTCAGGCCCCAAACATATCAAACGGCCTCAGGCCCAATTCATTCACTTTGAACAGCCTCAGGCCCAATCATCGTATCAAAAGGCCTCTGGCTTAATCATATCAAACACCTTTGGCCCATTATTTTCATATTCATGTTTATGCGCATTTCATATTCGTGATTATACTCATATTCATATTCAAACAACCTTAGGCCCAATGCATTTGTATTCAGACGGCCTTAGGCCCATTTATATCCTTATTAAATATATCAAACGGCCTCGGGCCCAATTAAAATATATCAAACCAACAAATCCATGGAGCTTATACGGAAGTAGTAGTTGGAAAGTAACATACTTGAAAATATCTTACTAAGATATTACTCACAATGTTTCATCGATGGATTTGCCCTCGTACTTGACCCTACATATTTCATAACACATTGGGTCACAAACAATTCAATCCATACTTAACTTATTTATTTCTCTTGGGCCTTTTGCTTATCCCTTTAGTCCATTTACAATGTTCAATGCATACCTAAGAGTGCTTAGCAATGAAAGAGAATGGAAAACGGAACATAAAACAACTTTTCAAAATTTCTGAAATAGGGCTCTCCACTCGAGCGACCTGAAAAACTCTGTAAAAGTACTGGTTGCATGAATTTTATGCTCGAGCGAGACTTCTGACGCTCGAGCAATGAATCTTGCAAAACAGGGTTCACTCGAACGCAAGGTTTGCTGCTCGAGCCACCGTGCAAATCTCTGCAAAACTTCTTGGAGCTTAATTTTCACGCTCGAGCGAGACTTTCTCCGCTCAAGCGGACAAGTCAGATTCTGGAATATCCAGAATTATATTTGAAGTCCAAAACACAATTCCAAAGGTCTAATTCATGTACAATACACTCAAATATGCAAGCACACTCCCAAAAACATATATTTGAAGTTAACTGACAACCATAATTCAAAATTCCATGGATTTAACAAATTTCAAACCATAAACTTTATATATATACATTCTATGTTTTATATCTTGCATAGACAAGCTTCAAATAAGCTTGAAATTAACCTTCAATTCATGGAAATTCTTACATGCATGTGTCAAACAACCCTCAATACAACATGATCAACATGTTACAAATCCAAAGATGCAAAATTATGGCCAATTCTTATATGCATGCATCTAATGTTCTCAAATATACTAAATTTAACTTAATTCATGTATTTAGCTTCATATATACTTTGAATTCACATTTTTATGAACTTCAACTTATAAATTAGAGTTTGATTACTCACCAAAAGCTTCAATTCTTCCAACTATAGCCAAACCTTGAGCTAATCCACCTAGTTCTTAAATTTCTTTACAAAATGTTCAATGTTGAGCCCTTCCTCTCTCTAAACTCAGCCATTCTCTCTCTAGAGTGTATTCCAAATTTTTGAGCTCCAAATATGAGCTTAAGTGTGTTTAGCACATATATATACTAAGTGATTAGATTAAGTTAATCAATTTCAATTAAAGTTAATGAGCCTCGCTTAATTACTATAATTATTTTGATATGAATCAATTTTTAATCAAATTTCACCATAGGCTCTAAAAATCATGCTAATCATAGGCTCTAAAAATCATACAATTTCAATTTTTGTAGCCTCTACGGTCTTTAATTTTCAAATTATAGTAGTAAGTTGGATAGATTTTCCTACGGTGAATAGATATAGTTTCAAAAACATAATTAATCACATAATTAACACCCAAAATCATATTAAGCACATAACATAGAACAAGGTTATCACAAAGACTTTTTCCGAACTCTCTAACTGGGGTAGCCTTCATATGGTATATAAACCTTGCACTTGGCTCTATTCAAAATTGGCAACAAATGGAGGAACTGTTTCATGCCCAATTTTTCCAAACAGAACCTGAAGTTTTTATGGCAGATTTGGCAAGATTGAGCCAAATGCCTGATGAGAAGGCTGCTCAATTCATTGCCAAATTTAAGAAGGTATGAAACAAATGTAGGGTCATACTATTTGAGCCTGAATTTGTAAAATTGGCTCAAAATGGGCTAGAGTTTAGGCTTCGAAAGAAGTTTGATTCAATTGAGTTTCGAGACTTAGTAGAATTAAGCTATAAAGTTTCCAAATATGAAACCTTACTTGAAGAAGAACAAGACCGTAGCAATGCATCCTATAAGACCTATTATAGGGACCTTAACTATGAAATTGATGCAGTAGAAATCATAAGAAAAGAACCTATGACTTGTGAAGCATTGATTTAGAAAGGCACTACAATAGACCAACAGTTTAAAAAGAAAGACCTTCATAGGAAATATTTTTTTGACATAATAAAAGCAGATGACATTTTTGATCATTTGTTTGCAACACATTTCTTAAAGTTTCCAAATGGAGTTAAAATCCCAAATTTTGAAGAACTTAAAGGGAAATTATACTGCAAATGGCATAATTTTTTGTCCCACTCAACTAAAAACTGCATTGTTTTTCAATATAGGATCTAAGAACAAATTCGGAAGGGAAGGCTAAAGTTTCCAACCAAGATTGAGAAAGCTATGGGAATTTGACACCAACCCATTTCTAGAAATTGGACATGTAACAGCCAATGTTGGCATACTAGATTTCTAGAATCTCTCTTTAAAGGAATTGAAGGAAGTTAATGTGCAGATACATGTTGCTAGCCAGGCTGCCTTCAAGAAGGACACAAGAAGTTCACCAGCCAGTGAACAAAGCTTTCCAGGCCAAAGGGGCGGCTCCAATCAAGAAACACTGGATGATGACTCCCTCAAAGTAGCTGTAGTGCAGAGGATGTGTCCCAAATGCATGTTGAGTTACATATAGCTGAGGGGGCTCTCAATTAATGGGAAACATTACTACAAAGATGTGCAGAGAGACCGAAAACCAGCCAGTACCTACAACAGAAGGCTATATCCAATTGGTCCTAGACAGCATTCATCCTTGGTTGGCCCACCAGACACCAAGATACAGTCAAAGGGTAAGATACCTCTGCATGAAACTAGGCCACTTAACTATTACAGGGTGGCCAATCAGCTTGAAGGAAAGCTTGAATTTGGCTCAAGATAGAGAACCAAGCCTAATGATTGGTCTCCAAGAACTTCTTCAAAGCTAGTTTCAAAGACATGGGTAGCAGGCCCAGCAGCTAGAGCAGTGGGTTCATGGGTCCTTAGGGTTCCAGATTGGTTTGTCATGCAAAACAAACCTAAGATGATGACTACCTAGAGAAAGACTTTTGGAGATAAGGGAAAAATGATCAAACCCCCTTTAGTGGCTCCAAATAATTGGGTGCTACTCAGAGACCCAAACACAAGGAAACCAGACATGATTCCCGTAATCTCTAGGTCCTAGAAGAGGAAAATTCTATGAAAGTACACCCAGTATCAAAGGGACCTGAAAGAGAATGGAGAAAACACTTCATTGACACAGTCAAAAGGCCAGACAGAAGAAGGAAAAGGTTCAAAACCTGGTCCTAAGATCGAAAGGAGTTCTAGCAGGGAACAATTGGCTAAAGTTCATGCTAAACTAAGAGTAAAAGAGAGATCCAATCTAGTAGGCCTCGAAAGGGCCTTGATGGAGAGTGATGACGAAATAGATGAAGGACTAGGACAAGAAAATGTATTGGCTGAAGATGAAATGTTCGAAGCTTTCATGGCTGAGTAGACCTTCAAGGTTGAAAAGCCAACATAAATAGACCATCAACAAACTGCTTTGAAGGAACCTACTAATAATGAGGTACCAGAATGCAGTATGGAGGATGTCTTCCAAGCATCAGAGCAAACCAATATGGAAGGGAAGTAAACACAGCTAGTGGTGCAATTTGGCTCATTCCCTCCAGTGCCAGTTAATAGGGTTTATGTGCTACCTCAAGAGTATCAAGCTGACGAGGAGAACTAAGAAGGACAAAAGGATGATCCCATTCCAGTTTCTGGTGAAGATTCACAGTTCAAGATGAATCTAAAGTAGCTAAGCCCATGGAAACTCATAAGGATAGTGAGGAGGTGAGCATTAACCTCTCATACCCTTTCAAGTACCCTACAATATCCATGACCCAACATGTTAAGCCCCTGTATATTAAGGTTTATTTGGATGGGATACAAATGAATAGAGTGCTAGTGGACAATGGGGCAGCAGTGAACCTGCTTTCAAGGTCTTCTTTTAAGAAGTTGGGGAA